GCGGGTGTGGTGGGGGGAGAAAAGCAAAACCTGACCGTCCTACAAAAATCAACATGACATTATACAAGGTGTACCATGCATAGCTCAGCTAGACCGCCTTTGTGGGGTACGTGTAGGGCCCGTCAGGTTTTATGGGCCCTAAATGCTGCTCTTGGATGTCACCAAGAGCAGCAAAGACCAGCATGTAGAGCGGCTTTGACACCAGTTGTCACATGTAACAGGGAGAAGGATCCAGGATAAAAATTGTGCGTTCTGGCACAGGATGACATTTATACTCATTTACATGGGTACGGCCTGTACAGGGGTATGTATGTGAGCAAACCCATTCTATTGGTAGAGTATTCACTGCAACTGGATTCCTTAGAATGTAATCAGATCTTTATAAACTACAATAACGCACAATATGTGGGAGCTCCACATTTACTTCAACTCCCAAACAACGATTGTACAAATCACACAATGATAGGAATTCTTTGTCGTCCTATAAGTATCAATTTGTTATGGCAGAATGGAGTGTAACAGACAAGGCTCCCCCACCGTACATCACCCGTCACAAGCCGGGGGCCCCCTGTAATACATCGCCCATCGCAAGCCGGGGGCCCCCTGTAATACACCGGGGCCCCCTCTAATACATGCCCTGTCATACACCGGGGCCCCCTATAATACATGCCCTGTCATACACCGGGGCCCCCTATAATACATGCCCTGTCATACACCGGGGCCCCCTATAATACATGCCCTGTCATACACCGGGGCCCCCTATAATACATGCCCTGTCATACACCGGGGCCCCCTATAATACATGCCCTGTCATACAACATCCCCTGCCATACACCAGGGCCCCCTATAATACATCCCCTGCCATACACCGGGGCCCCCTATAATACATCCCCTGCCATAAATCGGTTGACCGTGTGAAACACATACACCTGCCTCTATGAACACAGACCGGCTGTCAGCTCCCTGTCCCTATGAACACGGACAGGTCAGCTCCCTATCAATCTCCTCGGATACTCACTGCACTTTTCTCCGGTTCCTGGCCTGGTGTAGATCCCACAGGTTGAGGTCTAGCTGACCCAGGAACTTGTCCATCCCCACCAGGGCCCGGTGCATGACGATGACCCGCACGGTGCAGCGCTCCTGGTTGTCATTGTGCAGCAGGGGCACCTCGAACGTGGCTTCTTCTTTCCAGATGGGTGCCAAGCTCTTCTCGGCCACGGTTGTCGAGTACTTTTCTTTCCCCAGCTGGATGATGGCGTAGGCGTCATTGGTCCCGGCCTTACCCTTCGACCTCAGGGCCTTGGCTTGTAACACGGTGACCTGGACGTGTGTGGGGAACCAAGTCTGCGACTGCTGTGCGAGAGCCATGACACCAGCACCTGTTACTGTGTATAATGAGGCAAGGGGAGACGAGCGCTTGGCTATAAACTAAATTACACCGGTGGGCGGAGCTCCGCTCTCCGTCTACACCTCCCAAGGCTGCCAGGGATACCCCGCTCGCGGCACCGCGCCGTCACCTAGAAACGCCCTCCCAATCACATTGAACTCAATAGGCACGTGATCGGAAAGCCAGCCAATCAAGATATGGATGCTGAAGAGCATCGCAACACACCTTGTTGTCACCTAACAATAATGTTAGCGAGAGCCGTGTGACTGTGAGGCGTAAGGCTATACTCTCCTGCATGTATCAATGTATGATGGGACCCGCCATAGTCCATCCGGCACTGAAACTACAGAACACCAGGATGTCGGCACTCCAAAAATCCAAACTTCTTTATTCTATAAAAAGTGCACAGCAAGTGAATACAACTACTAACACGTGTAGACAACATCTTCACTACAGCTTTTGTAAAACTACAAGTCCCATGAGGCATTGCAAGACCCTGACAGTCACAGGCATGACTCCCAGAGTCAGTATAATTATGGGAATTGTAGTTTTACCACACCTGGGGTGCCAAAGTTGCCTACCCTGTGTAATGTGTTCCACCCGATCAAACCTAAGCAACGCTTAAAGGAGAACTATGAGATGAGTGATTTTCACTCACCTCATAGTTCTAGCTGACCTGTGACAATGAGACTGTCACAGGTCGGCTCAGTAGATCGGGAGGTGAGCGAACACATACTGGCGTTCGCTCACCTCTCGATCCTGTCACAGCTCACTGTCGTGACAAGGGAGGGGCTGGATTCCCCCCGCTCCGATCCGCCAGCGCTGACTGGCGGAACGGACGGGGGAGGGGGCGGGTACAGCTGGCTCTGCCTTTAGACAGGCAGAGCCAGCTGTCAGTCACGCAGCTGGGCGGATCCCAGCACAATTGTCGGGATCCGCTTCAATACTGAGCCTAGGGTGACGGGAGGACGCTAGTTTGTGTCCTCCTGTTACCCTAAGGAGAACTATGGGGAAAAGACTTAACCCCATAGTTCTCCTTTAACATGAATAATCCCGTTCGTTTTAATGGTGCCCATTAACACCTGAAGGTTGTGTCGCCTGTCGTTCAAAAAAGTACATGAACTTATTTTCTGTTTTTGGTACCATAAAATGTAATGGGAGGGCCTGAAAAATTTGCAATTTTGCACCTATCAACCGTCTCCTCCCCTTAGCAACTAGTTTTCTATTGGCTAAAACAAAAACTCGATCTTGAAAATTGCACAAACATTTGCAAGAAATGCCTTAAAGGAGAACTATGAGGTGAGTGCTTTTCACTCACCTCATAGTTCTAGCCGAACTGTGACAATGAGACTGTCACAGGTCGGCTCAGTAGATCGGGAGGTGAGCGAACACATACCGGCGTTTGCTCACTTCTCGATCCTGTCACGGCTCTCTGCCGTGACGGGAGGGGCTTTATTCCCCCCTCCCCGCTCCGATCCTCCAGCGCTGACTGGCGGAACGGTGGGGGGAGGGAGTGGGTACAGCTAGCTCTGCCTCTAGATAGGCAGAGCCAGCTGTCACTCACGCAGCTGGGCTGATCCAGACATAATTGTCGGGATCCGCTTCAGCTGCGGCGTCTCAGTATACCGCGAGCTGCAGCTCGCGGGATACTGAGTTTAGGGTGACGGGAGGACGCTAGTTTGTGTCCTCCCGTTACCCCAAAGGAGAACTATGGGGAAAAGCCCTAACCCCATAGTTCTCCTTTAGCATGACTGGCAAATGTTCACTTGCGAATGAGGGCTGACTGGGCCTAATGATAATTTCCTGCGATGTCAGACATGGTTAGAACATGCCAGAACTTTCTGCCACCAGCTTGCTATGGCTATAGGCCCTTCATGACTGAGGCCTTTTTTTCATATTTTGCCCCCATGTTATATTCCACATGTTAGGCCTAAAAATTACTTAAAACCCCCAAACATTATATATTTTCTGAAAGCCAAGGCCCTATAGAATAAAATGGTGGCTGTTGCAAATTTTTATGTAGCATGATATTAGTGCAACTCCTTATCAAACCCCAAATTTTAGTGAAAAATGCACTTAAATGCCTCAAAACACAATCAAATACCCATTTGTTTAATAAAATATCAAATATGAGGTTACAATGAGTAAATAGATACTCAACATGCCCAGGTTAAAAATTGTGTGCGTCCGTGAAACAGTAGCAAATTTCAGTACCCCAAAACGTCCATAGACGATGATTTAAAAGCCCCCACAGGTCATCAGTTTAGAGATACCCCAAAATACTGGCCCTAGAATTATTGCTCTCACTCCGGCGTGCGCGGCGATACCCAACATGTGTAGTGCCTTCCTCATTTTTATACGTAGGCACACCCAACGCGTGTTTACGTGAAGATGTGCATGCTCGCTGGGGCGGGGGACATTAAAACATTTTAAAATTATTTTTACATTTATTTTATTTAATGTTAATTTTAAAAACTGTTGGTTTTTATTTTTTACTTTACTTTAATTGCTATCACATAGGTACTCTTTAAGGGGATGCTGGGGTTCAAGAGACCCCCAGTGCCACCTTAACACTCTCAATAAGCTATTAAAGTGCAGATCACACTTCAATAGCTTATAGCTGGGCTTCAGGAGCCCAGTAATGACCGCTATGGGACCGGAAGTGATGCAATCTGCATCGCTCCCGGTACCATAGAATGGGGAGGGGATCGACGAACGGAGGATCGTCCATCTCCTCCCCAGCTCCCCGCCGACACCAGAGAAGCCGGACCCGGGCCCGTAGGAGGGGCAACGGAGCCCAGGAAACACGGCGGGGGTGTCAGCCCGTAGAAGCGATCTGGCGGTAGCTGAGCCGCCAGAATCGTTTCTATTGTAAAGCCGACAGTCGGCTTTACAAGTTTAAACAGAGTCCCGCCAGGAGTCTGTTTAAACAGCACCGATGCCAGCGACGTACACTGTACGTCGCTGGTCGTGAAGGGGTTAACAAATGCATGTCATGGTATGTAATTACACATGTTTATGTGCGTATGGAGTTTGAAAGCGTATGTGTGTAAAATCATTGGGGGAAAGATGTCGGACTTATCAAATAATGCAGAGGAAGCAGTGCCAATCTATGGTTTATGGTGTAATTACAAACTCTGGGGTCTTGCTCTGGACCGGTGTATGAAAGTATACATAACAAGAACACATGAAACCTTGATTGATTCAGCATTTCTCAGACATTGGATTCCTAAAGTCAAGTCTTACTCCTGACCTCTGCAATATGTGTGTTACTCCTGACCCCTACACTCTATAAGTTACTTACTCCTGACTCCTGCACTCTGTGGATCACTAACTCCTGACTCTTGCCTCATGTGCGTTACTTTCTCCTGACCCCTTCACACTGCATTACTTATTCCTGACCCCTTTACTCTGTAGATTATTTATTTCTGACCCCTTCACACACAGAGGACTTACTCTTGTCTCCTCTGCACTTTCTGTGTTACTTACTCCTGACCCCTGCATTCTACATTACTTACTCCTAATCCCTGTGTACTCTGTGCATTACTTACTCTTTGCCACTGCTCTCTGTGTGTTAGTTGCTCCTGACCCCTGTGCCTTGTGCTTTAATTTTATGGCAAGACAGGGGACTTCATATTTTGCATATCTCTCTTTACTGATTCCTCATAGCAGCAAAGAAACATAACAGAAACAGAAATAACCAATAGCAGCACACAGCATATTATATAAGTCCGCCCACACTGAGATCCCTCCTCTTTCTTTGCTGCCGCACTCTGTGTGTTACTTACTTTTGACATCTGAACTTTGTGTGTTGCTCACTCCTGACTCCTGCTCTATGTGTGTTACTTACTCCTGACCCCTTCACACTGTGCATTACTTACTCCTGACCCCTTTACTCTGTAGATTAATTATTCCAGACCTCTTCACTCTGTGTTACTTACTCCTGACCCCTGTACTCTGTGTGTTACTTAGTCCTGACCCCTGTACTCTGTGTGTTACTTACTCCTGACCCCTGTACTCTGTGTGTTACTTAGTCCTGACCCCTGTACTCTGTGTGTTACTTACTCCTGACCCCTGTACTCTGTGTGTTACTTAGTCCTGACCCCTGTACTCTGTGTGTCACTTAGTCCTGACCCCTGTACTCTGTGTGTTTACAGGTTTATAATCATTTTATTAAGTCTTTCAAGTTAACACAAAAACACTGCAATGAGCCTGGGACAGAGCATCAGTATGTAGTATTTCCAACTGTTTTGAGCCACGGCACCCTTTAAAAGTAAACAGAATCTTGAGGTGGCCCTTTCTAAAATGTAAAAACTGTAAATGTAAAAAATTACGTTGTGTCCCTCCAAAATACATACCAGACCCTTATCCCAGAGAGGGGTCTGGTATGAATTTTAAATGGGGGACCCCACCCATGAACACAATCAGAGTGCCCCCTTTCACAAAAGAGTTCCCCTTTACATCAAGAGCCCCTGGAAACCCTATTCAAATCAGAAGCCCCCTTTCACATAATGCTGTGTGAAAATTTTGAGGCACCCCTGAGGAAGCCAGAAGGCCCCCTTGTTTAGAAAGGCCGTTTTAGACCCAGAGTACATACATGGGTGGCGTTTGGGTTACATTCTCCTGCTTCTACTTTTGCATACAGCTCAGCAAAACATTGAAGCATAAAATACATTAGCTATAATAATTATAGCTATTTAAAATATGTGGAGCCACCCAAACACTCCTGTGCAAAGTGTGACACGTGCTGAATAGCAACTATCCGTGTCTTAAGTATTTTGGTATTTTATTGACGCGTTGTTCACTCTACCAAATGGAAATAACAAGGCATTGCTCTATTTTGAGTACTGCTTGCTTTGTGCCTATTGCTAATAGAGATGTCAACCTGGGAGAGTGGTTTATAGAGTGATAAGGAAGTGGCGCGTAAAGCGTAGTACAGGCGGAGTGGATGTGGATAAACAAAAGGGTGTGGCCTTTCCCTTAGGTGTATAGTAAATTACATTTGCTCCCCTTCATCAAA